AATCCCCACCATGATGGCTCCATGCTGTTAGAGATATGACTTGTGCAGAACTGTGCCATGGGCTGCAGGTGGCATATAGTGTACATCACAGATCCAAAATTCGTTAAGTGCCCATGCATTTTCCCTAGGAAGCAGGCAAGTCCAAATATGGTGTTTCTGTTGGTGGAGATGGTACTTGCTGAGAATTGTTCATTCTTCAAGTGTTGTTGTAGATCATGCATAGCCTGAGACATAGTGAGGCCCATCTATTGTTAGGGCTATCTCACACCCAAGGAGCAAGGAATTATTGAAGGCCCTATGGGCAAATAGAAAGCACTTGAAGCCATGTTGGAAATGTCTCCATAGCCAAGCTACTTGTGATGAGCCAATTCCCACTGACTTCCACCAGAGCTGCCATGTTTACTATCTTTCACAATCCTCCTCAAAGCTTTGATTTAGAAAAGTAAATCTACTTGTTCTTCTGTAGGTCATATGGGAAGGTTTAGGAAATGCACTTACTGCTAATACTTGGAGGCCGAGTATGCATACATTCATGACACAAGACTGAGCTTGCTAGTGTTGTACTGATGATAGCTACTGAGAATGTCTAAGACATAATCAGAATCATGATTTAGTGAATGAAGATCCATCATTTTTAGGATAATGCTAATACTCAGGATCAACATGCGACAACTGGTACAGTCACTATGCAATATACACAAAGCAGTCCAACATGTGGTCCAAGGATTAAATTGTTAGGAATTAGGCTAAAATGTGATCCAGTAGGGATCCCTCATGCAGAGTTCAGTGCTTGGTTGGGCCAACACTGTCAGAGTTAAACTGTGACAGTTGGAGTCACTAGGGAAGCACATCACAGAGCAAAGCCAGAACTGTGGTTTACAGAGACACTTGAAGAGGTGATAATCTTGTGAAAATTCCCAAGGATATATCTAGGTGTTTTGACATTCAGCATTAAAGTCCAGTAAACCAAGGTGCTATAAAGGTCTTGTCAGTATGTTTAAAGACAATTTTCTTATTAAGATTTTTTTTAGGGGGTCGGTCGTGGGGCTTGAACTCTGGGCTTGGGTGCTGTCCCTCAGCTCTTCAGCTCAAGGCGAGCGCTCTACCGCTTGAGCCATAGCACCACTTCCGGTTTTCTAGTGGTTTATTGGAGATAAGAGTCTCACAGACTTTCCTGCCCGGGCTGGCTTTTTACAGTGATCCTCAGATCTCAGCCTCCTGAGTAGCTAGGATTACAGGCGTGAGCCACCAGCACCAGGCAATTTTCTTATTAAAAGTAAGAAGCACTGAGGTATAAAGGTAAGTGAGTTTGCTTTTCTCCTTATGAACAAGGCATCCTCTATGGCTCATTAGGGCTGCCAAATGAAGGCATTTTGGTTACTGGTACATTTTTAATCATGTCAAGGCTTTAACTGGAAGTATCCAAATAAATAGTACACTCTCAGGTAAGTGATTAGCCCCTTACAGGTTAACCAGTCACTCATCTTTCCTACTTGTTGCATTTTTACTTTTGTTCTATTGGGGTACTAGCTATTTCAAGACATAAAGTATGATCAGAGCAAATGACCAAATGCTAGTGCATACTCAGGGCCCCACATTTACTAGTTGGCTGCTCTATCATTGGAGACAAACCTCAAGCTTTTGAGGAAGGGTCATGTTTTATGCCTGTGGTGATTCTCCTACTTGCACTTCCCATGCTAATGGGGATGACATGCATGTGACACTATGTCCAGGCATTGTGCTTCCCTACAGCTGGGATAACAGCTGTGTAGCAATGCACCCAGCCTTTGGTTAAGAGTTGAGGATTTTTATGCTCAGGCTGGTCTTGAATGACAATCCTCCGTGTCTGCTTCCCATGTAGCTTGGTACCTTGAGCTACCATGTTTCTGAAACTGCTTTATTTTGAATACAATGTTCAATTTGTCTGGACTTTTTTCCTCTGTGATACTGGGGTTTGAACCCAGGGCTCGTGCATGCTAGCTAAGCATTTTACCAATTAAGCCCTTTTTGCTTTTGCTTTTCTGGGGCTGGCCCAATTTCACAATCTTCCTGTCTCCATCTCTCAAGAGGCTGGGATTGTAGTTGTTCAACAGCATACCAGCCCTGGTGTTTGTGTGTGTGTGTGTGCGCATGCTCACGTGCACACACACGCGCACACATGTGCCAACCCTGGGGCTTGAACTAGGGCCTGGGCATCATTCCTGAGTTTTCTACCACTTGAACTACAATTCCAATTCCGGCTTTTTTTTTTTTTTTTTGTCATTAATTGGAGATGAGCTGTCAGATTTTCCTGCCTGGGCTGACTTGAAACCATGACCCTCAGATCTCAGCCTTCTAAGTAGCTAGGATTACAGGCAGGAGCCACCAGTGCCCAGCTCCGAGATGTTTGTTTTTTTTTTAAATAATGGTAAAATCCCAAGACCTTTCACTCAGAATGATTTTTTTTCTTTTTCTTATTTCATTTATTACATTAAAAAATAACATCAGTTAATACTTTAGAAGGATTTAATTTTGGCATGTCCACATATATAAATAGAAAGTAGCTTTATCAGACTCACCTTGCTCAGAACAAATTTTACTATATGTGACTATCCTTCTTCCCTGGGGGTAAATAAGCATGGCTGCATCATGTTAATAACATACTGAGGAACACAGAGACATACTGCAAAGGGAACACTGATTACTGATCAAATTATATTAGCCTAGCTATCCCTTCTATTGGTTACTAATATAAAAGGAAGTCACTGCTTTATCCAAACCTAAATGACCTCCTTTTATAACTTAGTTCTGAGAAAGGTGACATTTTAGAGGTATATAATGACTTGTATATATTTATATTTGCACTACCTGGTAAGAAGCTCATTTGAAAAGGTTATTTGTGGAAATATATTTTTGTAAAAAAGCATAAGCCTATTCACTTATAGATGAAATTATGGAGTTGTACTTTAGGCTAGGCTAAAATTAATCTTTTTAGTTTAATGCCCCAGTAACCAGAGATTCTAAAACTGCAATTTTGAGTATCTATAATCAAGTAGCAATGTAAAAGCAACAGGTTAATTGATGAATAAAACACCCTCTTAATTTCAAGCGGAAAAAAACATCGACATGCTGTGTGTATGTGTATGTCTGTGTGTTGGTACAAGGGCTTGAACTCAGGGCCCTCTCTTGCTCTCATTAGGCTTTTTGCTCCTGGCTGGCACTCTATTACTTGAGCCATGCCGCCAGTCTAAATAAAGAACTACTTTTATTTTCCTTCTTCAAAAACACAAATAACATTACAAACAGATTACATGCCTTATAGAGATAACAGAGTGGGAAGATTTTACTAGTGGAGTCACTTATGTTATTAGTTAGAAATTCCATAACTCCTCCTGCTTTGTTTAGAAAGTTACACATTAGTGCCTTTTGGCAATTGGACACACATCAAGTTTCTTTTCAACCCATTTGGCAATTGTAGCTTCCAACAGGAGGCTTGTATTTCTGACCATCTTCGTCCCCCAATTGCATGTTTAATGAGGAACAATACAGATGGGAATGCCCTAAATTTGCAGCATAATTAGATGCAACCTAATGGAAGAAGGTATTTTATGTACTCTGCTAATCACATATGCCAACAAATCAACCAGTATTGTTGTTGTAAGCTACAGGTATACTTATGGTTAGAAAAGATACTAATGTATATGCTCACTTCTGCAATAAAACCAGGATACAGAGCATCCACCTGACAGCTATGGTGTTACTATAGTTATACTTCTGAGTGAGCAGAATAAACAAAGAATCCACCTGAAATCAGCATTTCCTTACCCCTAGGGTCTGCACAAACTCTGCAGAGCACATACATATAATGTATTTTTAGTAACTGGAAATCACCTTCCCTTTATATCCAAGTAGGAGTATACACAGGAATTACGCAAGTCATTCTTTTGTGTAAGTAGATGACAAAATATATAGGTGTTTTTGATCAAAAGCAAACAGCTATATATTATGTGTATATGCTTAGTTGGGCATTTCCCCAGATCCTGTGGTGATATCAGTACAAGATTTCACTGTGTTTTGCAGTGTTTAGCTTACTCTAGGAAATGTAATTTTCTGTGGGATATAAATTAGGTATGTAGTTTCTGTGGAAAATGGTATTTTACTGGAGGGCAAAGGCAAAATCCATACTGAGTATTCACTTAAACCTGGAAGAGATACCAGACATGACACATCATACATATCTGCAGTCCATACCCAACTGCACAAATGTCCACTTGTGTGTTGTTATGAAACACAGAGTTTGGATATAATATACTGTTCTTTGGTGTAAATGACAACATTGGTAATATTCTTCCATGAAAGAAAGGGCCAATTTAATTTGTACGTTGAGGGTACACACCAGGATTACCTCTTTTATACATACTGAAGGGTACATTCCAGGAATGCCCCCTATTTCCAGGAAAGCTAAGAAAAAGGGAGACTTTTAAGAGGTGGGATGTATTGCCCTTTTTATTTCCCCTCAAACAGGTAACCCAAGCATGCAAGCACAGGGGATCTGCAGCACAGGCACGGCAGCAATCTCTCAAGCAGCTCTTTCCAATAAACCCGAGTTAACATCTGGACCGGCAGCCATTTGGAATGAAGAGTCGAATCTCTGCTGCCTGCTGCAATGCAGCATGGCATACACCAGCGACCCTGGGGCATTCCTACTGCTTTGGAGGCTCCCATTGACATGTGAACGGGGCAAAGACAGAGGTTTATCCTCTTCCACTTGCCTGCAACTCATGTTGCAAGCTGAACTTGCTGGGCTTGCCACGGAAAACACAAAGCTTCCTCTGCATCTCCTGATGTGTTTTAAAAAAGCTTGAGCAAGGCCCGTCATACAGGTTCATGTTCTTATTGTTTGCTTGAGCGTTTCTGATTTGTTGGGGGGCAGAAAAGACCTTTGACGTACGAAGTTGGGCTTAACTCCCCAGAGCCCAACTCTCCCAAGGTAACTCACTGACTGCTTCAGGGTACTTTACCTTCGTGTGGGGCTGGGTCTTGATGGAGCCGTATTCATATTTCTTCTTTCCGCTGCCTTATTAATATCTGAAAAGAATAATCAACCCATCTGTTCAATGCTACGGAATAAAAACAAGATCATCAGCACATTTTAAATGAAAGCAATAACAAAAAAAAAACCAATGACAACCAGATGGTGTAAGAAAATCCATTCAGCAGAGACACTTTTCAACAATTTTTATTATTAAGGTATTACAATGTCATGGTTTGGTAGGTAAAGAATGTCCCTCAGTTTTCTAGCTAACACATAATTTGTGTAAAATTGACCATGTCAAACCCTGCGAAGCTCTAAACCTGACAGCTCCCAACCAAAGAGAGGAAAAGGTTGTTTTCTAAAGTACTAGAAAGCCACATGTAGGCTTTTGCTGTTGTTATTTTGGGGGTGGGGGTGGGGAGGAAGAAAGAAAAAAGGGTTTGGGAAAAAATAAAGGGAAAATAATTCTATGTCACAAATGGCTGAAATCCATTGTTTTAAAATTTCCAATATTTCATGAAGCAGGACCTCTTTTTAGTGTCTTGCATTGCATTCCGTTGGTAAGAATCCAAAAATGAGATGTAGGACAGAAGAAAATTAAATTTTTTGTAATCAAAGTATATGACCTGTTAACATCTATAATCTTCATAGACAAGTACCTAAGAATAAGAATTGCTATTTGGTAAAGTGGATTTAGGTAATGAAACATTCCTCATGAAAAGTTATCATTATAGAAAACTATAGCATATACAACTAGATGAGAGAGATTAGTGGAATCTTACAAGACTGTTTTGCTAAAAGAAACAAAGCCATACCTAACTTTACAAAAATAGAAAAGCACTATGTTTTAAGAGTCAATGTGGTTTTATCCCCCAAAATAAAACTTGATAATTGTACAGGCTTACAAATAAATGAATACATTAAAACTTGCATATTTCAGATGAATGACAAAACAAAATGCTTCCTGCTGCAGTTTTGTTCCTCTTCTGTATTAAACAATTAATAGCATATCTAATGACTCAAATGGCACTCAACACTCAAATAATTAGAGTGCTTTAAAACAGTAATTATGTATTAAAAAAAAAAGATCCCAAGCAGTTTCCTATCATGTGAAAGGGCACAGCGAGAACAATTTAGTAGTCTGGAATAGACTGTACCCTGCTATGCTGCCAACTTTTGAGTTCCTGAGTGAGAATGACCCACAGGTCCATTTTAAATCAGAAGTTTTGTTACGCCTAAGAGAAAGATAGCTTTGATAAAACTTAGGTTAACCTAAATCTTAATAGTTAGGAAAGTATACTCTATCTAAACTGCTACTTACTTCAATTAGACAATATTCTACAAAAGTATAGGAATTAAGAAAAATTTTCTGTATAAAAACTGGCCAATAATATCTGACCACAGCTTTGGTACCATGTAGGGTGGTTTTACAATGTACAACTCTTAAAGTTCACAAATGTCCAATTTACATACTACATAAAGACAGGTATTATGGAATCTAATTCTTTTACATGTAATTGTGAAGAACACTAGTTTAGGTTTACTGGACTAGTCTAAGTCACTGACTTTGTCCAAATTTCCAATATAGAATACTTATGATTCACAGCAAAACATATTATCTTGGATTAAAGTAGCTTTCAAAATATCACTGGGATACACTGACTATATAATCATTTCTTTTAAATAAGCATTTCACCAGCTTGATTCTATGTATCATTAAATGGTCTTGTGATTTATTTATTTATTTAGGTCAGTTGTGAGGGTTGAATTCAGGGCCTGGGTGCTGTCCCTGAGTTCTGCTTAAGGCTAGTGCTCTACCACTTTGAGTCACAGCACCACTTCCAGTTTTTGAGTGGTTTATTGGAAATAAGACTCTCCTGGACTTTCCTGCCTGGGCTGGCTTTGAACTGTGATCCTTAGATCTCAGCCTCCTGAGCTAGGATTATAGGCCTGAGCCAACTGCTTAAACCTAGCAGGCATTTAGGTAAGAACACAGAATACATGGCCCCCCTGTTTTTTATTTTTGGCAGGGTTTCACTATGTAGCCCACACTGGCCTTGAACTAGGAATACTTCTGTCTCAGTCTCTCAAATGCTGGAATTACAGGTATGTGCCAGCTTCAAATAGTACTACTTTAGTTGGTAAGTTTACATTTAATGCAATAACTTGATTCTGCATATGAAAAGGAGCATTACATTGTCTCTGATTCTGAGTGTTCCATATTGGAGTTATGAGACCAAAGTGATTATATCTTTGAGGTAAAACTGGTTCTAAAAATGAAGATATTTTACTTTCAAAGTGGTAAAGGTTTTTTTCTGCAATTACTTGAAAGGGTATTAAAGAATATTCAAGATTAGCAATTATATATTTATATGATGTGGTTTCTGCTACTTTGCAAAAAAGAGAGCTTTCAGACATATATTGTTCTTCTCCCTTCCTCGTGCTAGGGACAGAAGCCAGGGCACTGCACATGTACCACTCAGCTACATCCTAAACCTGAAGGTCTCCACACAACTCAGGGCTTTGTACTACTAGGAAAGCACTGTACCACCTGAGCCATACCTCTACCCCTCAAATTATTTTAGAGGTTAGCACACGTAGTATGCTATGTCATATGCATGACTCGAATTTAAGGGGTTGTTTGATATCCATCTTAACAGAGAAGAATAAACAGATCTGAATAAAAATGAGATCTTCAATTTTTGGCATAATTTTTATTCAAGAGGACTGCTCAGGTTACAGTTGGGAGATTTTTAGCCAAAGCTGTAAAAATGGGATCACCAACATTACCACCAATCTCCGTTTTTTTGTTTTTTTTTTTTTTTAAATCCTGGGCTGGGAATGTGGCTTAGTGGTAGAGTGCTTGCCCTAGCATGCATGAATCCCTGGGTTAGATTCCTCAGTATCACATAAAAAGAAAAAGCCACAAAGGGTGCTGTGGCTCAAGTGGTAGAGCACTATCCTTGAGCAACAGAAGCTCAGGGACAGTGCCCTGAGTTCAAACCCCAGGATTGGCAAAAAAAAAAAAAAAAAAAATCCTGACATATACACACAGAACTTTTAGAAAATTTGTGTTCCTGTCAATTAGAGGTTCATTTAAACAAAATTTCCTTTGAAAATGCAAGTACTTTTAGTAGTAAAGAAGTTTTTGTTTTTTGGGTCCAGTCGTGGGGCCTGAACTCTGGGCCTGGGTGCTGTCCCTCAGCTCTTCAGCTCAAGGCTAGTGCTCTACCACTTGAGCCACAG